TTAATGGATCGGGTGATCAGGCTCCCTGACTTGGTTGATCCATGTCATTGTATCCCAATTGTGTGGATCGATGCTCATGATGTCAATCACTGGATAGACTGGTCCAGACTTGATTATTTACAGACCGCCGTCATATTGCTGGAATATGGCTGAGTGCAGAGTTAAACAACAAACACCAACATGATTCTACAACCTGCTCTTGTGGATACCATTTTGAAGATCCTACACATAACTTCTTTTCGGGTCTTAACTATTGCAATATGTTCTACTACATGTGTTTTAAACATATATTTTTTTTATAGTGAACTGGATTTGCAAACAAGCAGATGGCTTATCTAAATGATGCTGAAATACAAAATAAGTATTAATAAAATACTAATTCTATACTATTGCAAACTATCAGTTGAGCAATAATGTAATCATCTGATTATAAGTAGATAATGAAGGAGAAGTCCATATTGATTAAATCTACCAGATTCTGAGATAAATGCAAGTATTGATTGATTTATTTCAATGTTTTCCTGTACATAATTTTCAACAATTCCATATAAAGCTTTCTTATATCATATCCATACTGTATAATAATACCTATTATTTCTAATAATAGCATAATTTGGACACACAAATAAGTAATGAATGGTATTTTTATAACAGGTCCCGCACATGCGGGATAGGTCATTTGACATGAATCAGTTTTATGTGAATTTAAATCACTACAAGCTGATCTGAGTCATGAAAGGATATGCCTTCGATTCTGTGAAAATGGAAATGCTAAAACATCTCCCAATATTAACCATGCTATTACAGAATCTGTTCACTTGTTTTTGTATGTAAAATATTTTTGAATGATTACATCCATCTAATGATTGTTTGTATGTGTGATATGCCAGTAGAGGTATATGTGTACAAGCATGTGCATACACATGAAAAAAAAATGTTTGTTTGGCTAGGTACCAGTATATGAATAAGTTGTTTAGTGCGACTTGTATATTAGCATCATCATAGTTTCAACAGACAGTTTATGTATATCAAATGTTAAATGTCTTTGTAGGGAGAATTGCATATCAAAACTGTCATTATTTTATTACTTATGAGTAGAACTTTTTAAGTATCTGGTATGATACATTTCCTTGGTCCACAGACACATGTACCAGTAAACTGACTTGATAAGTAGCATAACAGTCAGTGTGGTTGGAAACTAATTAAGCCGTCACTACTCAATTAAGTAATTAACAGACAATTGCAAGTGATAATACCCACCTGACACTAATTGCCCTGTTAATCCCTAATCCACCATGAGTTGACATTGAGCTCATCTTGCTAATGAGCTGTTGTGAGCGTAACGAGATGATAAACATCAAAGGTGGGGCAGGCTTTGATCAAGTGTTCTGTAGAAGAGATTATGCCACTTGTTTAATGTTTATTTAGGATTAGCTACATCCCTTGATGCAACCAAGAGCATACTTGAGGTTATCAGACAGTTTGTCTGGATACAGCCTGATGTCTCAACTGTACTTATTGGATTCTGCCTTGTAGCAAACTATGTGTGTGACAAGGACTTTGACCACTCTGTGCAGATGCATAACAATGCATAATGAACTTGGGGTATGATTCAATTATGTCACACAAGTCAAAGATAGGTTCCACTGTATTTAGAAACAGACGATAGATGCAATACTGTGTAACTTTATAACAATCAAATGATTTACAATTACCCTTGAAAAGTTCCAAAACCAAATAGAACTACTTAAATTATGATTACACTTGACCAATATATTTGGCAGTTTTTGCCGTTATTGTTAATCTGAATTAAAGATAGGATAAATGATAAAAATATGATAATGCATATCACACACAAGTGTCTATTATACGCAAATAAATAAGTCTTGTATACATTGATTAATTGGAAAGGGTCCTAATTGGGATTGTTCACTAGCCAATATATTAGCAAATATTCCCATGGGCGCTTATTAGAGCGAGGCGCTTATTACGTCAAATACTTTAGTTCTGTTTTTATGTATAAGAACCTATTTTATGCAATTTGCATTGCCTTGTTTACCTTTCCTTATGTTTTGATGTAATGCAAACATTTGAGAAAAATTCAGGTGAGCCTGCCTTATGGCACTACAGGAATTGTTTTCAGAAGATCAATTACAATTTTGTATTTTCTGTACAATTTACTGTTTGCTATGGCTTTTTTACATTGGTTAACATGGTTTGGTTAACAGTTGCTTGATAAATTGTCATTACCTTACTCATTGAGAAACCAAATTTTTACCCTTTGTCAATATATGTGTGTTTCTTATATTTTTAATAACAAGCTTTTAAAGATGTTATAAATTGTTTCAGGCACCTGGATTTCACAATGACACCAGATCAGACAAGTCATACAAAGGACTCTCCGGATGATGAATAATCCTCCCCAGAACAACTAACAGGTTCACCTCAGAAAGTGATGATTCTGAATGAATAATGCCACATCAGTGTGATTCTGTAGGTTGTTTTATTACGACATAAATCAAGTCTAAAGGAATCAATACCACAGCAGTGAGACTGTTTATGTGGTGTACACTGACGCTGACCATACAAATCTGAATGACTTTTGTGGTTTACTGCACAAACATAATTGACTTTAGATATTCTTCTACCTTGAAATTCTTCTGAGATTTGACTAATTTGTTTATTTAGAAAATGGCATTGAAGCATCTGTTTCTGTTTTTGAATGTTCTTGCAAACACCTCTGGTTACTGAACCAATGAAATGTCATAAAATCAATAAATATGATTTTTTATCTTAACAATTTTTCTGTTTTGCTTCTTTAAAGAAATATGATATTGATCATTCATAACATAGGTGCTAACATATATCAAATATACTAATGCCCTGAATGTTTTCCTACAATTAATACAGCTCACTGAACGAAGTTTTTAGTTCCATGTCAGTAGAAAAGTTACATTGATATTTTTATGTACCAGTACTTTATTAGGTGTTTTCTGTGGATGCCATTAGTCTTATGCACCCATTTGGGTTAATGATATTCTGTTTCGAACTTCAATGAAACTCGTCTGTCAAGATGTAACAAGTATTGATACAGTTCCAAAATAAACTTTTAATCTCTCCAGGAACAAAGGCCCAAGTGAGCACATAGCCAATGACTTTCATTTTTTTGTCAGAGTGAGTATGGTGTTATGCCACTTTATGAGCAAAATTCCAACAATATCATGATGGGTGACACCAAGCAATGTATCGATGTGGTGAATCGAATGCTTCAACCACTAGGCTAAAACAAACTGGGAATATGAAGATGATATGTAAGGATACCATCATACCAGGACTGAATGCTTTTCATTTAATACGCTGAACATCTAAATTGAAATATATATGAACTTGAAAAATGTTTTCACCAAAAGTACATGCCCATAGATCTCAACTTCAAGGGGATATTTACAACTAAAATAGCACAGAATATTACTACAGCTATCTGCTATGCCCAGGCTAACATTATTTACTAGGAGAAAGACATCTCGAAAAATTGCATCCGGATACCTGCCGGATACCTGCCGGATACCTTCAGCAATGTTCAATTTTCATGGTTAGTTTCCAATATATTTTTAGGTGTTTCACACTTAATTGAACAAAATGCACCCCCCAAATTGTGACATGTTTTTGGAAACTCAGAATGGGGTATCCGGTGCCGGATCCCTGGACACCCAGATTGAGGTATCCGGTGAGGTATCCGGTGCCGGATACCCGGATTCCAGGTGACATACTTTCCGGTGAGGTGTCCATGCCGGATACCACAGATCTGGTATCCGGCAAGGTATCTGCCACCGGATACCCGGACGCGTTTTGGGTAAGTGTCCGGTGGTATCCGGCAGGTATCCGGATACCGGAAACTGCATTTTTTTTGCTGTGATTACCAAAGAGACAAATAAAAATGAATATATGTTTATTTAACAAATGTTATATTTGGTATAGCACTCTTAGTAAAGTACAGATGCAAATACTTTTTGGGGGTTACATCCCGTCCAGGATTCGAACCCACACTGCCTGTGTGAGGCACCTATTCGCCAGCACACAAAGTGAGCGATCTCACCAGCTCAGCCACTGAGGTTTCGACAACTGGTAGTGTAGGGCATAACATTTGTTACATTTGACCACTTTCTACATTGCATTGTGTTTCATGTTTGTTTATTCAAATGAATTCAAAGAATAATTAGAAGATAAATACAATGTTTGTGTCTATTTCCGGGATTTTATCGAGTATTTGCATCTTGGAAATTCATCTCGAGACCCGAAAGCGTTAGACACACACATAGTATTTATCGATATTGTAAACCTATTGTTTTATTTAGAAAAAAACATGCGCACTCTTTAACACCTCGTACTTTCTCGGTTGTGATGCGTCAACATCGAACGTTCTGTTGCTGCTATGGTGATTGTGATTTTGGTACACCGGTAATGAGACGCAAATACCATCACGTATATTTCAGCTGCGATACATACATGCTTGAATTCCTCATACATTTTAGAATCAAATGCCAAATGGTCTTTGTCACCAATACAAATTGTCTAAATGTAATGAAGCAAAATCAATGAGGTGTGAAAACGGACGCTGAAAAAACTGCACTTGTTGTAAATGTAAACAAAGCCATTCGTCTATTCGTTGAGTACATTGGCTCGAGATCTGCATTTTCCGAATATACACGGGAAGAGAATCGTAGGAAGAATTAGGGAATTAAACATATATACATTGCAATAATTTGATATTTTCAACAGAACTTGTCGAAGTTCCCGTTCTGTGTGACGCCATGACTGACGCAAAATCACGCACAACGACAACGGTATTTATAGGAATTTCTGACTATTTACGTTGGTTTCAATGAAAAATACAACAACAAAAAACAGTTCACAGATTGTCAGAATGTTTCTGATTACTTACACGTCACATTTATGTATATACGAACCCTGAATCAACGAAAGTCCCCTCGTAAAATCCTGCGCACTGTTGACAGTCAACACGCCATTTTGTAAAACTCGGTCACCGGTAGTGATGTCAAACTTCAACATATTTGTTGTACATATTTGGTAATTTCTCTGAGGTGAAGGTCCTTGAATGAGAGCACACACGATCATTGTTAACTGCTTTTTACTGTTTCATGATGTAGATCTTGCATATCTTTTGTACATTTTTTTTCACACAATAAATTTCACTTTGGATATTAATAATTTTAATTAAAAATTTAAACTCCAAATAATTCAAATGAGTAGAGAAAATTAAAATATTTGTTATGAATGTTAATTTTGTATTTCAATTTGCGTCCATTGTTAATTAGTATGCAAAAAATGCTGAGTAATTATGTATTCCTACACAGTGATTCGGTCGCTTGCTTCAGGGAATGCAAATCATATTTTCACCCTTTGATATTTGGTCATGTGACCCAAATTAGCCAATCACAACACAGAACACTCTTTCTATAGGTTTACAATTAAAGCTTTACACGTGCACGTTCGTACTAAAACATATGTTGTCAATCGATAATGCCTTTATCATGTTTCAGTTTGATGTATAAATAACCCGCCATGTTGAGCGAACCACCCAGGAGGTATATACACGCAGCCAGGTAGAAGGACGTGACATACCTGCCTGTTAAGTCAAACAGGGAACCTGGAAACAAATAAACGTTGAAAATATACGTGACAGTCAAGACAGATTCACGAGGATCCTGTTACAGTAAGAAGATGTACATGAAAGTAGGGATACAGGAAGTACAAAGGCATCTTTACAAGACTTCATTTTCTATTCGCACAACAGTATCGTTGAGTTACATTTTTGGTTTACTAGATGTCATTATGTCTTGGGAACTGAGATTTCTTACACATCTGTGACTGAGAAACCCATTTGAGATAATTGGTATCAATCATATGTGTGAGATCGAATTCCAGGGCTGTGATTAGCTACTCCATGTTGATGACCTGAGTGAGTGAATGAGTTGGGTTTAACGCCGCCTTTAACAATATTTCAGTTATATCAGGGCGTGTCAGCTTAATGTGGGAGGAAAGCCCGAAGTGATGCAGTTTACCACTTCGGTGAAACCCACGAGCACGGATATGGTGCTGACAAACCTAGAAACATAGTCGGGGGAATAGGTTTCTGGCGTGTCCAGGGGACGCAACTCTGCACAGCGAATCGTGGCGCCTTAGAAGACTGGGCCACCTGTGACCGCGGTGATGACCTGAGGTCAGATTATGAAAGACTACTTTCCAGATTGTAATTCATTGATAAGTTGCTCGTGCTTCAGTCGAATGTTCACCTACGTCTGTGTTGAACGTTATGACTTTTAGAGTGTAAACCCTCTTGATGCCACATCCACATTATATGTTCCTCCTCTTCAAACCTCACATCGAAGTCGAATCAAATTAAAAAAAATCATTCACTGCCATTTTAGGCAAAGCAAAAAATTACATATGGAAATTCAGTATATCATAAATCTCGGCATTTTTGACACATTACTAAATAACCATTCACGGTTTTTTTCATTCTGTTTTTAAAAAATCCAAATATCGGATATTTACTCGAAGAATTGAATTATGAAATAGCATACTAGTGATCAAGGGTATGTGTTTGTCATTAACTCACATATGATAATTTTGAAACGTCGCCTAGAATGGATTAAAATGTTTTGGAAAATACGCAAACAAAAACGCCGAAGTGTTCGTTCCGCCATATTGGATAGTGTTGACAAAATCACGTTTCAAGTGCCGATTATTATTGAGAGTCCTGTATTAGATCACGTATATTTCACACTCAGCCGCGATACATACATCCCTGAATTCCTCTAACATTTTAGAATGTCACCAATACAAATTATCTAGATGAAATCAAACGATATATATTACGTGTGCAAGAACACTGTGCTCGGAAAACTGTTCTTGTTGAAATGTAAACAAAGCAAAATTCAAGTTTTACACTGTGTAGCATTTTCTCCTATTAGAGCTTTCCGTTTGTCTGATATTGCATACACTGGCTCACGCGTTTGAGACTATTTATGGTAAGGGTATCGTAGCACTAATTATGGAATTACAAATATATACATTACAATGACCAAGTAAATTCAACAGAAATCGTACAAATTTCCGTGCTGAGTGACGCCATGACTGACGGAAAGTCACGCACATCGATGACCGTAGTTATCTGCATTTCTGACTAATTTCCTTGGTTACGTAGGAAAACATAGAACAAATGACAGTACGAAGATTGTCAGATTGTTTCTGATCACTTACATGACACATTTATGTACATACGATCCCTCGATCAACAAAAATACTCCTCTGGAAAACCCGCGTACCGTTGTCAGTGAACACGCCCTTTTGTAAATGTCAATTAGAGTGCTAAAAAGTTGTTTCAAAGCGTATGTAACTCGCTTTCGCTCGTTAGGTACGTTTTGAAACAAGTCGTTGTAAGGTAAATGGTATCTGACAGACACTCGTGTGTCACCTAGGCGCACAAGGATTTGCAAACTCTTAATTTGTTACCACCATACCATAGTCATGGGTTTTACCATGCTGGTAAACGTTTGTGAGTCGATTAAACAAGCAAGACCCATGACCAAGAAGCTAAAACAATATATTAACAACGTTGTTGTGTAGATCGTCTTAACATAATAAAGGCATCCCATAGAAAACAAATTAAAATTAATTTTGACATTTGCACGCAAAGGCACGTTTTGTTGACAAACAAGCTTGTCAATCAAGGTTTCATGATCACTTGCCGGGTGAAGTCATTCTAGATATGTGATGGTGGACATTCAGAAGAACTTACTAAATATGACATGTTGCTATGACGTTTACGTAGAGCTTGCAAATATCTTCCCACACTGACATTTCCTTTTCTGATGAAAATATTTGAAAGGCGAGTACTAGTCTTTCTCGAACACCTGGTCATTCCCGTGGGTTGTTTTCAGATGAACAATTGACTTGCTTTTGCATATGTTGTTGACGGGTGCCCCGAATGGGGCAGGACATGCTCACCTTTTCGCGAACGCCTGGGGTCATCACTATTTGATAGTGAGTCATAGACACAAGCTCATGATATAGTAGGAATAAGTAAAATTAGTTTTTTTCATATAACCCTCCTGCTTCTAAAAATGTCCACCGGCAGCATCACCTGTTGGAGCCAGAGTTGGAGTATGTCAGAATAATGTACAAGGAATTACAGGTCATCTGAATGTGAATGAAGGGTGTTAGCTTGAATCGGAGTGGTAGACTAGCAGTATTCATTCAGGAGGAAAAGCCAAAACGTAATTCGGAGCTTCTGAGACATGCAGAATATTCAACAGCCAAACTTAAATCCCTTTGTTCCGCTGACGTAATGATATCAATTTATGACAAGGGATGACGTCACATGATATTGTTCTCAGTGTTGGAGCAGTGTCCCTTCCTGTACATGAAGCTTGGACAGACCAATCAGCTCAACTGATGAATGCTCCAGTGCTAAAATCGTAAAGTAATTCATTTGGAATTTCCTTCTTTCTTCTACGAGAAACAGTAACCAGCAAGCCACATACCTGCAATAGGAGAGGCAACGATGACTGATATCCCACTCAAGAAGTTGGTCAGTCCAAGGGCGTTGCCGGTATGGTTGACTCCAACAATGTCAGTCACAACAATGGCGGTGAAGACCGTCCACGTCCCTGGGGACACACGTGTATACAGAGATTCAGAGTTTCAGAGTGAGTTTCAGAGTGAGTTTTAAGGTGAGTTTCAGAGTGAGTTTTAAGGTGAGTTTCAGAGTGAGTGAGTGAGTGAGTGAGATTGTGTGTGTGAGTGAGTGAGTGAGTGAGTGAGTGAGTGAGTGAGAACACCACGTGATTCTCACCTATGAACGCTCCTTGAACTGCAGCATAAACAGCAAACAATGCATACGTCTTTACCATCGTGCATAAAAAAGTGGCTGCGCCGCAAATCAACAACAGGACGGCATAAAACAAGATCCTATTGACACAGCTGAAGTCTGCGACGTAACCAAACACAAGCCTTCCCAGAATGCCCACGAGACCCATGATGGAAACCAGGAAGGAGGCGTCGCCCTTGGCAACCCCGGTGAGACGAGCCAAGTCGGGGAGGTGCACATACGGCACCATGACACCGAGGTGCGTGAATGCTGTGGCCGTCAGGAAGATGAGGAACGGGCGATGGTTTAACACCACGAACAAGCTTTGGAAGGATACACAACGTGGATGACGTCTTTTTAGGTGTGTTCCTGCAGACAAGATCAAATAATTAAGATTCTGTTTTCAGCAAATACCATAATAACGAACTGACGGATATAACGAACTGCTTTTAGGCCCGTCCATTTGCTGTATATATGCTTATAACGAACTACGGTTATAAGGAAGTAAAATTAGTGAGATCTTTAGAGCCGTAGTTTACTGTAATTGATTTAAGTTTTATCTGTAAAATCAGTTATGTTTGGGATCTGTACTTTATTTTTTTCTGATTAGTGAGGAAACCCCCAAATTACGTTAACAATTTTGGCTAAGCCGTCATGGTACGGATACGTTTGTGATAAACAGATAATTTGAAGAAATCTCTTGACGAAGGGCGACTCCAGCCCACGATCAGATGTTTTGTACATGACTAAGGGAAGTAACTTTGCACTGCAATCTGCGTCGTTCTGCTATGCCCAGGAATGCCGTCGAACATATATATCTGGGAACGTATTCCTCTACATTCTCAGAATGAAATATTAACCCTTTATGTAGTAAACAATAATGTTGCAGAGATCTACTGCATCTAGAATTAGTTACTTTTCCGCTGTTGTGCAATGGTATGAGGTGGCATTCTGAAGAGACTCCCGCAGACGACGAGGTTGAGTGCTACCCCTGACAACACCATCATTATGCCTCGCCAGCCGTACTGGTTGATCAACGCCCTGTACAGCTGGGGCAGGCACATTGTCCCGATTCCAGCACCTATAGCTGATATGGATATGGCGAGACTCCTCCTCTTCCTGAAGTAGACGGTCAGTGCCACAACACTGGGCACGATGGACAGACCAAGACCAAGCCCTGCAGAGTATAATAGCATTGTAAACTGGATCTGATTGGTTGAAATATGTTCTTAACACTCAGGATGCCACAGGGAAATATAACTACCGGAAACTTCTTCTATTTCCACTATATGTAAGATGATGTCATGTTTAAAACTGCATCATGTACGCATTTCTGGAATGTACATTTAAACACGATAACGAATAGTCATTTTATTTTACCTTTAAGTTAGCAATATTAACTTCTCAATTCTTTTCAATCTATATTATTTACACACACATTTTTTGAAGGATCAAATGTGTTGCACTTGTGTTTGGTCGGTTGATAGAGACAACAATGATGCCAGATGCATGTTTATCAGAAACGATTCAGGTGTTGTAATAGCTTATCAGCTGGTCCACAAATTCTGAAATATTGAATTCAAACCAGGATATGTTTTTTTGATAGTTTTATAAAAAACTACACACTTGTTGTCAGATCTTATACGATCTGTCCTGACTATATTAAACTAAGACTGGTTTTCATCGCTTCCTTTCTTGCACAGCAAAACTGTGCATGAAAACACAGGAACATGCTGTAGAAGTCTAAACTGGGAATTGCATCAGACATACTATTTGCCACTCATGCATCAGATTTGGAAATGTCCTCCTCATGTCTGCTATAAAACTCTTTGAAAATTTTACTAATGCCTTGAATATTGTAACCCTGATCCAACAGCTTTGGAGCAAAAGTCGTATGACGCTCTAAGATTTTTTCGTCCTTCGAACATACTGGATTGTACCTGTGCAGCTTTTGAATGTAGACACCAAGGAATGGAGCTGCAGGAATATTGCTCGCCATAAAGGGGAAGTCGACCATTGAAATTTGGAAGTCAACCCTCTTGTCATACAATCTAGTGAAGAGTATTTTTAATCACACCTTACGGATGATTATTGTCAATATTCGTCAATCCAAAACTTGTACAATGGGGGCGTTTTCACTGAGAACAAACAACACAGTCCAGATTAACAAGGTTGGGCTGAACAAGAAATATGTTGAACTCGGGCGTCATATCGTGTCGTGTGTTTGTTGTTTAATGTCGAGCTCAGAACTATCCCAGCTATATGACGATCGATTGTAAATAATCGAGTCTGGGCCAGATAATCAGTGCTATGTAAGTGTAGCATCGTGTCCCCTACTCACCTCCCACCACGCCGAAACTGAAGTACAGGAAGGCCAAGCTAGGGGCGAAGGAACTGACGAAGAAGCCAAGAGCTGCCAACACACCAGCGATGATGGTAGTCACCCGGCACCCGTACTGCTCTATCAGCAGGCTGGACAGAGGCCCTGGTGGGAAGATAGGGGAAGGTTTAACAATGTTCCACTGATTTCATGTTTTGGAGGTCAATATAGAGTCGTGCATTCCTCATGATCACTGCGCGTTTAACAATATTCCTATATTTCCAGCCATTTCACTTCGTGGGGAAACACACTTAACTCGAATACGCCTTTGTCGGTGGAAAGCAAAGACATAAAATGATCGTTTTCATAATGATTGAGTAAGCGAGTGAATTTGTTTTTACGCCGCTTTAAGCAATTTTCCAACAATATCACGGCGGGTAACACCAGAAATGGGCTTCACACATTGTACCCATGTCGTGAATCGAACCCGGGTATTCAGTGTGACAAGCGAACGCTTTAACCACTAGGTTACATGACTAGCTGAGATTACTAACTATCATTGTGAGAGGAGAGTGCCCCCTAGCCCATGTGTGTTTCATGACTTAAATGAGGACATAGTTAAAACAATATGTGAATGCCACCATAACCCGATCTTTGCTTGTACTGTGGTCAGTTTGGTCGTCCATTCTTTGTGATTTAGCTGAAATACTGCAGCGTTAAACAACATGCACTCGGCGGCAATGACTAAGTACATCAGACGTGTGGTTTACCAAGGAAAGACAATATCAGTTTCCCTAGCACCTATGTTGACAATGTCAAAACAGTCCTCATTTCTATGGACGATTCATAATGTGAACTAATGGCATTTTATTATAAATTATTTGATCATTGATATTCAGACCTACAGCCCTGCCAGCCCTGTTATGTCGGCTTCGTGTTGTGACTTTGTCAACACAAATGTTCACTTTCATATAAATAGTTTCTGTAATACTGCAAATATACATGTACATAAAACCTTCATTTTGAATATTTGCTAGGCAAAATAGTGATGACAATTCTATGGATGGATCACTGAACATTAGTGGTGACACCAGGGGTTCGTACAAAAGATAAGCACGGTCTGGCCTACTGGTGGGAATCCGCTCTAAAGCTCACTTTAATTGTTCAGGAAAATCTGTATTAAGCCCTTATCATAATTAAGCCTTACATTACCAGTTCACGTATGCCAATCGTGTGCACCTGTGTTCCGAGTTAAAGTGTTAAAGAAAACAGACCTTGCTCGGGCAAGGGGTTCTTGTAATGACCTCAGCCTTTATTAACTCGTAGTTATTATCAAACCAAGTACCCTCCCCATACTCAAATCCCCTCATCATCAACCCTATACCAATCGTCGCCCCCACATCATCAACCTTATCCCCATCGCCACCCCAACCCCACATCACCAACTATATCCCAACCTCCACCCCAATCCCCATCATCAACACAATCCCCGTCACCAACCCTACCCCAATCATCACCCCAACACTTCATCATCAATCATATCCCAATCGCCCCCTCATCACCAACCCATTTTATGTGGGGTAAACATCATGATTTATATATAGTACTCTATGCACTAACTACGCATTCACCTGATGGAGGAACAAGAATAATCTCTGAAACGTCGTACAAAGAATAAAAGAAGTTGCCATCCACAAACAAGTATCACATATTCATCATCCCCATCCTCATCCCCACCCCCTCATTCCTACCTGCCATATGCATAGCTCCACTTGCGATCGACCCCACCCAGGCCACCTCTGCTCTGGTAGCGTTGAACACATCCACCAGTTCCACATAGATCACTCCAAAGCTGTACACGATACCAAAACATATAAACGCAGCCACAAACTTTGCACCAACACAAATCCATCCCCACCCCCCATCCGAGGGGGACGGTGTGTCCACATCCTCACAGGCTATCTCAACACCCTTTGTGATCTGAATTGCTGTGATATCATCCCTCGAAAAGTCCAGCGGCGTCACTTCCTCCAGGTTCAGGTCAGTGGTCAGCTCCTTGCTGATCTCCTTCATTGTCCTGGCCTACTGCCCTCACCTGTGATTGAGCCTCCAGCACACATTACACGAGTGTATACTACAAGCAAACGGTGAACGTGAGAAGACAGCAGTCAGGCTACTCCATGTTCAGGTAGCACATGTTGTGGAATAAAAATGGTTTAATTACAAAGGAAACAAAACGAGTGTGATTTATGTCATTGAATATTCATAAAGATCACAGGCCATCTGGTGTTTGGTCGTACAAACCGAAGTTTGATCTCGTATTGGCTTACTCTGGTTGTATTAAGCTAAACATATTAGCAAGGGTTTCTTACTGGGGTTTTCTAGAAAGCCGTGAATAATCCTGTGATTGTCAAGCTATAAGTGAAGTTTAGTTTTTCCTTGCTCAGTCAAAGCAGCTGAGTATTCAGTCAGTCAAACACGTTTCATGTTCAGAAATTCTCGTCTATTTTATTGTCTGAGTGACTTGTTTTAGGGATAGGCCCTCTGTGTCTATTTCCGCTATTTAACCCAGCTGAAGTTACTCACTAGTTAGAATGTTGCGTTAATTAACTCTGATGTTAACTGGTCGCAGCTAATTTAGTTGGCAGTGTACTCATCTTGTCAATATTTTGTCAAAGTGTTGTATTGGCTACTCACATTTTATATCTATAATACATTTGCTTAGCTAAGCAGCTTGTGTATTTGCTCTGATTTTTTTAATCAGCTATCATTGTCGGTATAAATTGTATATTGTCGTCCTTTGATACAATTACTGCTTGTAATAAACCTGTGAACCTATTACCACGTTTTCCTTATTGGTTCTTGACCCATGAAGATCCGGGATAGAATAGGTCTTCATCAACCCATGCTTGCCGTAAAAGGCGACTATGCTTGCCGTAAGAGGCGACTAACGGGATCGGGTGATCAGACTCGAGGACTTGGTTGATGCAGGTAATCGATTAGTTGCGAAGATCGATGCTCATTATGACAATCACTTGATTGTCTGGTCAAGACTCGATTATTTACAGACCAACATCATGAAGCTGGAATATTGCTGAGTGCGGCATTATACAACAAACAAATACACAAACACGTTTTATTCTTGTTTAACGTCACCCATGATTATTGGAATACAGCCTCGTGACAGTCTGCTTCCAGTTTGATCAACATAAGCCCTCAAGGTGATGTTAATATGGAACCTCAATGCATAGTCAGCCTGTGAAAAAAATATTTTCAGTTATATCTATTCTAAAAGTTAATAGTTATTTACACAAGTTGACTGGAGGAGCAACAAGCCCAGTTTGAAATGCCAGAACGAGACAATACTATGAATAGGTAAGGATAGGGGCGCCATCTCGAGAGAGGTACAATGTAGTCGACACACAAGAAGACTGCTTTGCTAAAACAACTGCTCTGATGAACATTTACAAGCAACTCTGAAAGGTAATGTGTGGCAAGTCAGAATATCACACATGCAGGATCACGATGGGTTGTGATATACGTGTGTTCAGTCAATCTTTACTGACTTCATGTGGAGAAGAGGTACATGTGACCAGACATGCCCGACCAGCACTGAGATTGTGTTTACTTGTGTCCGTAATGTCAGTAACTCGCGAGCCCTGTCCTCGGTGTAAACTAAGTCCTTAGACCCTCGATTCATATTTTGCTTTACCCTAACTCGATATGTGTCCCCTACCTGCAACAATCGATGCGTGTTCAGGCGAATCAACTAAAGCAAAGGATCACAGAGCTGTTGTAGAGAATCTATGATGAGGAGGTGGGGTGACGATGGGTATAGTGGTGATGATGGGGGATTTGGGTGGCGATTGGGATATAGCTGGTGATGAAGGGTTTGGTTGGAGATGGGGATAGGGTTGATGATGAGGGGGTAGGGTGTCGATGGGTATAGTTGGGCTGATGGGGGATCGAGGTAGCGATTGGGATATGGTTGGTGATGAAGGGTTTGGTTGGAGATGGGGATAGGGTTGATGATGAGGGGGTGGGGTGACGATGGGTATAGTAGTAACGATGAGGGATTTGGATGGAGATGGGGATATGGTTGGTGATGAGGGGATGGGGTGACTATGGGTAAAAAGGATGATGATGATGGGGTAGGGTGTAGATGGGGATAGGCTTGATAATGAGGGGGTGAGGTGGAGATGGGGATAGGGCTAGTGACGAGGGGGTTGGGTTAAGGTGGGTGGAGTCGGATGGGGTGTGGCTTATGGTGCGGTTGAGGGAGCGGGGCCGTCGTAAGTTCAGCTACACACATGACAGGTGGGAATGATGTCGTGGGATTGGGGTAGTAGTTAGGGCAGCAAAGAGCATTTATGGTGGTAGGTAATGGTGTGATGATGATTTTGGGGATGGGGGTTCTCCTTGCCTTTGTTTGGTTATAGTTTTAAGAAATCCCCTTGACATCTCAGATCACATCAATCGAGCAATGAGTCAGTGCCGGCATGGGCAATGCATCAAACACATACAATCTCGGTACAGGTAACCATGACTACTGTGTCACGCGTAGCTGGAGCCATGGCAGATTATACATTTACATATATACATATACATATTCGGAGCATAACATTCACAATTGTATTCATATGTTATTCTGCAATGGTATAAATCGATTTGTTCATTTAGTACTGGACACCTACCCACTTACTCGTAACCAGTGTTAAAATAAATGTCAGTTTTCTTTAACACCGAAAAATATCCTCGGGACACAGGTGCACACGATTGTCATGCGTGTACTTGTAATGTTAGGGGGAACGGGTGGCTCAGTTGTCTAAGGCGCCGCGATTCGCTGTGCAGAGTTGCGTCCCTTGGGCACGCCAGAAACCTATGATTGTGGGTTCGAATCCCGGTTCGCCCCGATTATGGTTCTAGGTTTGTCAGCACCATACCCGTGCTCGTGGGTTTCACCGAAGTGGTAAACGTCTAAGACCTGCATCACTTGGGGCTTTCCTCCCACATTAAGCTGACCGCGATATAAATGGAATACTGTGAAAAGCGGCGTTAAACCCAACTCATTCACTCACTCACTTGTAATATAAGGCTGAATTATGATTACAGCTTAAAACAGATTTTCCCGAACAATTCAAGGGAGCTTGAGAGCGGATTCCCACCAGTAGATCAGAATGTGCTTATCCTTTTCACGAACACCTGGCGTCACCACTAATGTTCAGTGATCCATCCATATAAATTTCATCACTATTTTGCCTTTTAAAATCTGTTCCGGCGAATATTCGAAATTAAGGTTTTATCTACATGAATATTTGCGCTATTACGGAAACTATTTATATGAAAGTGAACATCTATGTTGACAAAGTCACAACACGTAGCCGACATAACACGGCTGGCAGGGATGTTGGTCTGAATATCAATGATCAACTAATTTATAATAAAACGCCATTAGTTCATATTGTGAATCGTCCATAGAAGTGAGGACTGTGAGCATAGGACCTGGATAATCTGAAATTAGCTTCCTTGGTAAAACACGTGTGATGTACTTAGTCACAGCCACCGAGTGCATGTTGTTTGACGCCGCAGTATTTCAGCTAAATCACAAAGAACTGGTGATAATCGAATGGACGACCAAGCAGACCACTGTACAATCAAAGATCGGGTTATGGTGACATTCACATATTGTTTTGACTATGTCCTCATTAAAGTCACGGAACACGCACGGACTTGTCGGCACCTACTGACCTCTCAGCGTGATAGTTAGCAATCTCAGCATCACTGTTAGAACAATGCACATTGTATGAATGCGGAAATAAAATATTCAGCCTAGTTCTGTATGCATCGAAAGAGAAATTATGTGAATAATCAAACCATGCGCTTCATTAGTTAACATTATTGATATGAATATGTATGTAGATGAAGTATTAAATAACTACCGACCCATTTGCACAACCGTGCCATCGTTTCATGTATATTAAAGTAAAATATTAAGTCTTAAGAAAACAGGGCAGTCGGGTAGCCTGGTGGTTAAATCGTTCGCTCGTCACACTGATGTACCGGGTTCGATTCCCGACATGGGTACAATGTATAAAGCCCATTTCTCGTGTCACTCACTCAACCAAACCCGTCCACTCACTCACTCACTCACTCACTCACTCACTCACTCACTCACTCACTCACTCACTCATACAATCTAACAACATTAGGGTGTAGGTCAAGTATTTTTAATCCGTTTTTATAGAAATAAAATAAACAAATCCTTCTTTGAATTCAAAATTTCAGAAGTTGTTGACCATGTGATAAACTATTTGAATCGTTTCTGATAAACACGCATCTAACATCATTGTTGTCTCTATCAACTGACCAAACACAAGCGTAAAACATTTGTTCCTTTACAAAAGGTGTGCGTAGAAAATAATAATTGAAAAAAAGTGATAAGGTAATATATCTAGTTTAAAGGTAAAATGAATTGACTATTTATTAACCTGTTTAAATGAACATTCCAGTAATATGTACATGATTCAGTTTTAAACATGACATCATCTTTTTTCAGGACATATAATAGAAATAGAAGAAGTCTGCGGCCGTTGGTCCAAACCATTTACTGACAGTGTGACGTTTGTATCGTGCTGTATGTTTGTATCGGCAAGGCATGGCACACCATCAACACACGGACAGCACGAGGCTACAAAAGTACGAATCAGGTGTATGTACTTGTCGAACCGGCAAAGAAATGGCATGTAAACGAAATTACACCCTGTCGGCAATAGATGAAAAGAAAAGTCTTACATTTACAACATGGCATTGGATAGCATTCATTCAATTATTTTCTGAAATAAGTATATGGCATGACATATTTCCTATGTAATCAACGTTTAAACCGATAATATTCGAGTGAGTGAGTGAGTGAGTATGGTTTTACGCCGCTTTTAGCAATATTCCAGCAATATCACGGTGGGGGACACCAGAAATGGGCTTCACACAGTGTACCCATGTCGAGAATCGAACCCGGGTCTTCTGCGTGACGAGCGAACGCTTTAACCACTAGGCTACCCGACCGCCCCCGATATCATTTGAAACGGTACTTGTCAATGTCACACGTGTCTCAATGTTTGTAGCTGAGTTATATTGCTTCAAATGAGATTCGGTAGACGTTCGTTGCATTGTGTTTTGGCAGTGATTAGTCGTCCGGAATGTAGTACTATTTAATTTAAGCGGTGGTCACAAAATTACTATATTTAGATTCCAGTGTGGTGTGTACATTTCCGGAAACGGCGAGACTGGTCCAGCATTATATAGAGCCTTACAGCATTGTCTTCAACGTTCTGGAAGCCAGTAAGACTGTATATACAGCGGGAGAAGAGCGTGCCTGACTCATCTCTCACACATTCTCTCACACATTTCGTCTCGTACGCATGTCATCGCTTTAGAACCAGCTTGCACGAATATGACGTCATTCATATGTCATTGTCAGTTACACTGAAGAGCTGTCATGACAATGAAAGTACTATGTCTGAAACTGATATAAAGAAGATGTTGGACTAACGTGGGCTTTATTATTTTATTATATATTACATGTACACCGAGTGAACATTTTCCTCATTTTTGTGTATATATATATATATATATGTGTGTGTGTGTGTGTGTGTGTGTGTGTGTGTGTGTGTGTGTGTGTGTTTGAACAAAGGCGAGGAAAACCAGCTCGGGCCTTGTATCGTACCTCATCTGCCATTATATACTACTTATTATAAACCCAAATAACCCAACCACCCCCATCCCTCAAATCCACCTTACCCCTTACCATCAACACCACCCCACCCAATCTCCACCCCATCCCTCACCATCAAC